CGTGCGCCTCGCACTTTGCCGGGTGAAGGTGCCCTTTCCAGGCGGGAAGGGGAAGCGTTTGGGAAGGGTGTGCAGAGGCCGAAGAGGGAGGGGGGTGTTAGTGGGGACCCGGGTTTTGTTTCTCGGTGACATGGTCTCAGTCCAGGAATTGGGTCGAGTTACGCATTCGCCATTCCCTCGGTGTCTTATTTGCAGATGTGGTCTGTTTATTCTCACAAGAGGACAATGGGAATGTGTCCACGAGGCTTTCTGAAATAGGAGATTGTGGGTGATGTCACGGCAGCTTTTACTGAAACGTTTATAGGGGGGAGAATATGTTCCTGGGATGAGCAGAATCTCATTCTTAATTCCAACCTTCTTTCTTCCATGTCTTGGTACTTGAATTATTTCTTTCCCATTCATTGGCTGATTGCTGTGTGTCCGACTCTGTACTAGGGACTCTCTATAATTATCTCATGTGGTCTTTTTTCTTTTCTTTTTTCATGTGATCTTTATTTTTATTTTTAATATATTTTGATTTTTTACAGAGAGGAAGGGAGAGGAATAGAGAGTTAGAAACATCGATGAGAGAGAAACATCCATCAGCTGCCTCCTGCACACCCACTACTGGGGATGTGCCCACAACCAAGGTACATGCCTTTGACCGGAATCGAACCCGGGACCCTTGAGTCCGAAGGCCGACGCTCTATCCACTGAGCCAAACTGGTCAGGGCTTTCATGTGATCTTTAAATGAGAAATTTGAGGCGCAAAGAATTTAACTAGGTGGACGGTCTTGGATTCCAACTCGAACTTTATATGCTTTTTTGTGGGCCACACGCGGCTTCAGGTGACATCATTCTCCTGTTACTTTTTGATTTCCATCAGAAGACCCAGAAGCAGCACTTTAAAAGTAAAGTCAGGGCAATATTTGTTGCTCTCTAGCTGTTAGGATCAAGTGTATCACTGAAGGTTTTACTTTGTCTCTATTCATGTGTGATAATGAAATGCCACAGCAACGACCATTAACTAGACTAGGAGAGGGAAATCTTGTCTTTGGAATGTGTTCAAAATAAGTGGGAAGAATGTGGTTTGGGGAACCTAGAATAAGATGAGAGAATTTACAGATAAGTGCTAGGTATTTTACATTTGTGGTAATGAAACAATTTGAGAAGAGAGAACAATTACAGGAAGACTTGAGTTTTGAATAAAAGGATTTATGTGTTACAGGTAAACGGCATCAAATGAGATCATGTGGGTATATGTTTTAAGTTTAAGGTGAGATATGTTATATTTTAACGTTTTCCTCGTATACAGTATAACCTAGGGGCTAGGGTCAGGTCTGGGTTTGATTATTCGCATCATCTT